CAGCAGCAAAGAAACAGTCCAAAGCTACAGTAATACTACTCCATGACCAGAGCTGTTGAGAAGTACCCAGTTCACGTCAAGCAATGAAGAAGGCCAGATAACAATCTGAGGGAGGGAGGATTACACCTTTGAAAAATTGCCCACCAACATATTTAGCCTCAGAAGCTATAGACTTCCCCCACGCTTCAGTTCATTAGTACATCTCTATTCAACAATGCATTTAAACATATGCTTGATTCTCATGTGCTTAAATGCTTTGCTGAATTGATGTCACAATGCATAATTTGCATTTTTGCTTGAAATACATATATTCATGTAGTCAGACTCAAGCAGACAAACCCTGGTACCCAAATGAGACCCTGTGAAGTCAGTGTGGCCCAAGACAGATGCAATGACCACTATGCAAGCTCTGGTCCTGCAATCAAAATTAAGTCATAATAATATTAAAACAGGGAAAGAAAACACAATGCAAAAATGGGAACATTACATAGACTTTCTAAAATATTGAAGACAAGCAGCTTGTAGCTCTAAAATAGGTGGATATGCCACATCAAAAACGGTTTTATTTTGAATCTGTATTTTTATCTTTTCATAAATGTCTTGTACCTTTATTCCTGGAACTGTAATACAAATCCAAAAAGGAAAGCACTACAACACGCAGGAACTCTGCCCCATGAAAGGATTAAGAGAATTCTTTCCATTCTACCAGGCTTTTCTGTACACTATGAGAACTGTTACAGTCCCTAATGGAATTTGGATGGCATATTCTATGTTTAAAGATCCATTTAGATATGTAATTAGTCTTATAGATCCACCATCCAGCTGGTCTAGTGAGGAGCCAAAATTTGTCCTCAGATGCATAAGCACAACTTATTTAATTCAGCATGGCTTGCATGAGCTTGTCTAAGGGCAGAATTTGATCATAGATGAGCGATTCTCAACCAGGGTGACCTGAAGTACTATGCAACGTTAGCACTGTTAGGTGGTGAACTTTTTACTTCCCCACTCCCCTCGCCCCAAATGCAATAATTGTAAGCATATTTATCTACAGAATGCCAATTTTTTGCATGCATCTTCCAGGAAGAGACTCCTTTATACAGTGCAAACCAGCTCTTTGTTCTTTCAAAAGTGCTCCTGCTTTAGTAGTGCCTCAAGACACTAGTCTGTCCACACTTGTTTAGCCTCTTCTCTGCTTAGCAGAATTCTTTTTTTTAAAGCAAATTCTGCAGTTTATTCGTAATGTAGCATTATAATTTCACTTTTGTTTTTTGTTGTTTGTGTGCCCATGTATAGCTACATATATAAACAGTCATAGCACAAAACAGATTCAGCAATGTCTGGGCCACATAAACTGTAAAGTCTAATCCACAACATCCTTCAATAAAACACTGGTTTGTAAGTACAGAAAACTTACACTAGAATCATTTGCCGGACTAATTTAACCAAAGGACAGGCAACCTGGCAAAATATGGAGAGTTCTTAGATCACTACTTTATCACACTGCAAGATAAAATAGAAACTGCAACATTCATGAAATATAAATATCACTCAGGGCAGAAGTCTTCTGATATGAACTACAGGAACTCTTTGGTCAATAATTATTACTACCCTTAAGGAGCCTTAATATTTTCCCAATGGAGAATCCCACCAATATGCCATTTTTAGCTTCTCTGTTGCTTCCTTTTCCATTCTTCCCCCTTTCAACTAAAACATACACTCAAAAGTAGTGTGCACACTTCTTAGCTACAGCATCACCATTTTTGGCAAAAATTAGATAAAAAATATCAGAGCATAAATATCCCAAATTCATCTCTCCCTAACCCCAAAGAGTTCTAATAAAACCTTGACACCACACCAATTTGTAACCTGTAAATGCTCTATAAGTTGCAGAAAAAAGCAGTACTGTGTAAAACTTAATTTCTAGAGGGAAGGATTAATAGAACGCAGAGGAAGCAGGCAAATGTGTATCACTAATGTAGATAGATAGATAGACACACACACCACGTTAGATGAACTTTATCAAGGCTGCAATATCAAGCACACAAAAATTAGAATAAGTCAGAATTAAGGTGGCCTGTGCAAACAACCTTAATTTGTACTCCTTGTGCATCTGTATTTTTTAACAGAACTCATTCTTCATTTAGCCCTGAATGGATGTGATCTGGATACAAACTGGACTGTATAATAAAGGAGGTTATTGCCTTTAAGATCCCTTCATTTATCACTGAAGTTCAAAAGCAGGTAGTGAACATGTCAGGGAGCAGAAGACCACATCATGGTCAGGTTAGCTAATTGCTGCCTTGGAAAACTGGATTCTTTCACCACCTTAGCCAGAGTTCCTATATGGTGTATTCAAGCCACTTAAACCAACCTGTTTATAGATAGTCACTGTGTGTTCCTCATTTTCTGGGTGCCCAACTTGATATCTTGAAGTCAGAAAATGCAAGCACTGTAAACTACCACTGACATTCACACAATAGGAGGTGTGCTTTCAACATAGGAAGTGTCATGTAAAATTAAGAATTCTTTAAAAAAAAAAAACCCTGAGACCCCTTAGGAGCTATCTTTGGTGCATCTCAGGCTGGACTTCTGAAATTAGTGGATGCTTTTGATCTTAACTTTTCTGTTCCTCAATTCTCCATCTATAAAATGGAAACTCACATCATGGGAGAGTTGTGAAAATAATTAATGTTTGTAAAGTACTGAGATCCAGTAGTGACAAGCACTTTAGAGAAGCCCATGAGAAATTAATAATTCTGTCTTCAGTGTGTATTTTGAATAATGTACAGTAAATGTGGCTTGGGGCCATACATTGAACAATGAATGCCTGACTTTGCAACCTTAATGTTCTTTCAACATTTAAAAACCAAAAAATTCCTTAGTTTTTTAACAGGTAAATTGAAAAAAATGAAATTCTATCACGTGGCATCAAGTGGACAGCCACATGGTTCTGGGTTTTGAGTCTCTGTCCATTGCACAAACATACCATAACTATGCTAATCCAATGAGTCAAGAGACTGACTATGTATTTGTGTAGGCTTGTAACATCTCCAAATGTGGTTGGATTTTCACAGAGACAGCAAAAGACTCATCCTTGACAGAAAGGCCACTCCTTGTCAAGTTTTAAATCTCTACTATAAAGCATTGAGGTGCCCCAGCTGTTCAAAGTTTAAGGAAGGCATCAGAGTTTGAGAAAACATCCTAATGTTTGTATGTAAAACCAACAGATAAATTGTTTTAAAATGTAGTTTGACCTTATAAACTAACTTTTAAAAACATGGCATATGTAAATTAAGTGCCAAATGACTTAAGTCTTTTTTGAAAAGTCCATTGAATTAAACCACACTAATGTCAAATGGAGGCACAATATAAAATACAGTAAGGAACAATTTAAATTATGGT